TTGCTCAATTTCAAGGGTAAAGTCATCAATTTGATAAAATATAAATTAATTTGACAAAAAAATAAATGTCAAAAAAATATTTTTAAATTTTTGAAAATTATTTCAACCCACTAAAGATAAAATTATATAAAATTGATAAATCTTTAAGACATTTATTTATTTATTTTTTTACCAAATTAATTTTTATTATGTGTTTAGATAATGATCATGTAATGGGTGGTTGTTTTATTTTCATTAAATGAGTTTTTATTTTTTCAAAAGTCAAATATGACGACAACTTATAATTATTAAACCAATCCATTAAATCAAAAAATCTAAAACTAAAAACATTTCATATATTAAATATTTTGATTACATAGCCCGACAACCACCCGTTACATGATTATTATCCAAACACGTAATAAAAATTAATTTAGTAAAAATAAATAAATAAATAAATGTCTAAAAAATTTATCAATTTTATATAATTTTATCTTTGGTGGGTAGAAAATATTTTTACAAATTTAAAAATATTTTTTTGATATTTATTATTTTCAATTGTCCTTATTTGAAACAAGATTAAAAATTTAAGGTCAAATATGTCACAATTGAAAAATTAAGAATTAAAATGATACAAATTTTATACTATAGTGATTGCTAGTGTAATTCGTAAAACAATAATAATAATAGCAGTAGTTATCTAGTGCCACTTGTGCGTTTACTGATTTAAATCTTGTTGGGTTATATGGTGTGCTTGGTGTTTTTTCCTTTTTTTTTTTTTTTTTTTTCGTAGGGGTAAATGTGCTTGTACATATGCATTATTACTTTGCTATGATTATCTAATTTCATATAATTATTTTTATATTTATAATTAAGGACACTCAAAGATCTATATTTCAAAATTTTGAGTAAATAGGCTTAAATTTAAATCTTTTTAAGTCAAAAAAGGACATTAATCTATCTATAAGATATCTATCTAGATACCTGTTATTTATTTGTCAAATTATTTATTCAAATGTCATATATTTGTACATGTGTTACTTATTTATGGCATGAAGGTTTGTTTGGCATGAAAGTTTGAGGCTATTTTAGTTACAAAAAAATAAAATAGGTTTCTTAGCCCAATAAACAAAATGTCACATTCAAATCATAATCATTTTATTTTTTCTCTCACAAAAGTAAAAAAAGCGAAAAGGTCCATCTCAAACGAGACATTTTAGCCCCAGACTAAAATAGCCAAAAAATCAAGAAATTAAAATGCCAACTCACATCCCAAACGAAGGCTCATATATCTATTCACATTACCATCACTCATTTTAATTGGCCACCAATGACTTCTCCAACAAATTTTAATTTTTTTTTTTTGTGTGCGAAAAACTTTTCGATTAAATTTAAGATCAAATAATATATAGTTTCATTTGTGTAGGGGTGTAAAAATGGTCCGAGACTTGTGGGCAGCTTGAAATCCGCTCGCGGCTCGAGGTGGGACCGGTCTATTTCGGTCTGATTAGGCTGGGACCCGATCTCAACCCATGACCTTGGGCCTAGGCCTTTCATTTGAAGCCCGACTCAGCCCAAATTTTTTTGGGCCTCGCGGGCGACTTAGTCCAACCCACCAGGTCCTCCATCTGCAAATGATCAAATTTAAAAAAAAAAATATATATATATATATATAAATAAAAGGCAAGTTGCAAACGGTTAAAAAATTAAAATAAATAAAATAAAGGCTTGATTTTGCAACAACGGTAAAAAAAAAAAGAAAAAAAAGAAAAAAAGAAAAGGGCAAGTCATTTCATGTAAGGAGGCAGAATTGATGCTTGCCCTACCTCCTGCCTCCTTTGCCTTGTTATGCAGCATCACTCACATCATTGCAATTTGCAATGAATGAAAAAAAAATATTAATTAAAATAGTCTAGTATAATTTTTCTTTTATTTTGTATCTCTAATAAATAATCTACATAAATAATATATTTATCATTTATTTTTTCAAAAAAAAAAAGGCCTGCTCGTGGCCGGAGCCCAGGCCCTATCTAAGTAGGTTTGGGCTTGGGCCTAGGCCCCACTTTTCGACCCATGAGCAGACCTAACACGATCCGATAAAAAAGCTTGACCCCAAAAAACCCGTTTGGATCGGCCTGAGCATAGGCCCAGATGAACCAAACTGGACCATTATTATATCTCTACATTTGTGTGTGAAACTTTCATTAATTAACTATATAATTCATCACTTATTGAATAATTAGCACAATCTAAAGATTCTGAACGAATATATATATTTTTTAAGGGTTGGAGTTTCTTCTAATTCGTAATTAGATTAGAAGGTATTGTTAGGTTTACGAGGGTTCATCACGAGTCTTGTTTCGATAATTTGAACTGTTTAATGTGTAGAACTCGTCAAGTACTATATGTCTGTAAAAAATCACGTTGATCGGATATCGTTAGCTATCCATCAGATAAGATTTCTATCAAGCATTTATTTTTTCACCGCCTATTTTTTTTTTATATAAAAATAATTTGATCATATAATAATCAATATCTAATCAACATAATTTGTTACAAGTATATAATACTTGATGAGTTTTATATATTAAATAATATAAATTATCAAAATAAAATTTGTAATAAATTCTCACAGATCTAATAGTATATTTCAATCTGATCACGTACTAAAAGAAATCAGCCCTTTTTTTAAAATAATATAATTCAGTTTTTATATTGGAGCAATAATTTTCTGGCATTAAATTACAAAGTTTTCAATTGGGTTGTTGGCGGCTTATGGATACAGTACCTATCTTTTGTCTCTGAGATCAGCTTTTTAGGTAAACCTTTTTCGCTCTTTTTCAGGTGGCCCCCACATTAACCTTTTATGTCGTCTGACGTCATCTCCATCCACAGCCACGAAAGCTCTTGGCTGCGATTCACCACTCTGCTTACGTGGACGCTAGCTGGCACAAAATTACACTGCCCAGCCCTACCCCCTCCTTCCTCTTGATCAACATCAAAATTCAAAAGCCAAATATGGTCTGAAAATAGATTATTTTAACTCGTTTATTTTTTTTAAAACTATTTTAATTTAATTAAAAAAATTATTTGAGAAGATAATTGATTTTTTTATTTTTATTTTATAGTTTGACTTATTTTGGAAAATAGGAAAAAAAAATCTAATTTATTGTCTTTTTTAACTTTTTATAAAAAAAATATATAAAAAAATAAAAATATAATATAATCCAAATAAGTCAAGAAGCCAATAAAATTATTTTTTTCTAGTTATCAAAATAGGCCTTGATTTGATGATTGTCAGAAAAAAATGAAATGATTATGATTGAATGTAATATTTTGTCTTATTAATTATTTTAATCTATTTTATCTTTATTGGTTATTTTAGTCAAAATTCAATTTTTCAAAACAAAATAAAATGATATACAAGTTCACATTTTAAATTTATTTTGTAAATTTAATAACATATAAGTAATATGATTGATTGATAATTAAAAAAATTAAAAAGACATAATTACTTTAGATATTCTAATTTATTGATATATTATTGAATTTAAAAAGTGAATTTAATTTTTTAGTTAGAATAACAATAATAAAAAGTTGATGTTATTCATACACTTTTCTCATAAAAAATACATTTTATTAAGTATATTATAATAAGACTTTTTTTTTTTTGTGTCAATTTTGCCAATGACCTTATTTGTTTATCCTTAGACCACATTTTTATTCTCTTAAAAGATAGTTGCTATTTGTACAAAAATAGAAAAATTACACACTAGGTGATTTCTAAAAAATTAATTACATATCGGTAATAAAGTATATTAATATTAATTATTAAAATTATAATTTTCAAAAAATGTGTAATTTTTTTTCTAAAAGTACACTGAATAGTATTTTTCCTACAAAAATTTAATAATGGAGAAATTCTCAAGAATTTTTGGTGAAAAAAAAAAAATTCATATGTAGAGTTGTGGATTCCTTTATATGTATGTAAATGGTGGATTAATATATAAAAAATAAGGGACTTGGGACAAGTCTAATTTAAAAATTTAGACAATAACTCCAAATCTTTGGGAATTAAAACTATCAACCTATTTGTCTATTTATCTATCCATTATTTGACATGTCTAAGCCTCCGTTTGGGAAGTGGGTTGGCTTTTTGGCTTTTTGGCTTTTTTGGCTATTTTAGCCTGGGCTAAAAAGCTTGGTTTGGGAAGGACTTTTTGGCTTTTTGGCTTTTTTGACTTTTTTTGTGAGAGAAGAATGTAATGATTATAGGTTGGATGTGATGTTTTGTTTGTTATGGCTAAAATAGCCTATTTTGTTTTTTGTGGCTAAAATAGCCAAAAAAGCCTGAAAAAGCCCTTGCCAAACGGAAACTAAGTGTGTTTACCTATTTACTCACATGTCATTTTTCTTATTTGTCCACATATCACCTATTTATCCACTTAAATTGTTTATTGTTCATATCACCATCATCAATAACTGCCAGCTATCACCGGCGAGTTTTTTAGGCACTTTTTGTGCATCGGTGGCAGTCCAACGGTGGTGAAGCGATCGTTTGGCTGTAATCTAGCGATAATAAGTTACAAATGAAAAGAATTCTACCAAAAAAATAATTTTTAATCTCACCTAACAATTTTATAGATCATGTATATAAGAGATCAATCATTGAATCTAATGTCATATTCCTCCATAGAAATCGATTTATCACCAATAAATCTTACAAAATATATTAAAATATGTATAATGGATATTGAAGTTTGGACAATTTTGACTTTTTATTATAAATAAAACAGATCATTCTGAGTGAAATTTTTATACAAATTTAATTAAACGGATAAAGTGATGCATATTTTTGGTTAAAAAAAATATGACAATCCTACTGTTATTGATGCAAATGACCCATAAATAATTAAAAAGAAAAAAAAAAGGGACGAAAAAAAGGCAAAAGAGAAAGTGAGAAGAAGCACTTTTCATTTAATAAAGTAAAATATAATTAAAAAAATAATATGCCTCATCGTTCACGCTATTTGTGCATTTTTTTCTTTTTTCTTTTTTCTTTTTGAGTCTTTTTTGTGAAGACTTGATTTCATGTATATGTCTCCAAAAGTTTCCTCTCTCTGCACTTTGAGAGGATTTCTCTGGGTTTTAAGACTTGATAAACGTCTCTCTCTCATCTATGTTTGTGGAAGAAAATGAACGGCGGAGATTCGTCAGACACCAAGGATCCAGCCATCAAGCTCTTTGGAAAGACGATTCCTCTCCCGGAATGTCATTTTCCGGGAAAGTCTGGCGAGAAATCCGATGTGGGTTGTCAGATTCCGGACAAGTCCCAAGTTATGGTAAATATTCATGTCTTTTATTTGATTTTCTCGGAAAATTTATAACCCATGTTACTAAAACACGAATAGATGATTGGTTAGGTCTTGATGCTCCCTTTGGTGGCTGAGAAACTGCGAGAAAATGAAAATAAGAAGAATATTTCTTATTAACTGTTTCTTGAAGCCTGAACTCCAGTGTATTTGCTTATTTTCTTGTGGTTTCTGGGTAACCAAACAGACCATGGATAAGTTTGGGAGATGTTATTTGATTGGTCGGTAAAAGGGTGCTGAAGAAGTGATGTCAGTTTTATTAGTTTCCTGAAAATGATGGCGCATGCTTGTTATTCTAACTAATCAAAACCAACTAAAAATAAATATATAAATATTTGAAAAAAAAAAGTATAAATTTTTTTGGCCTTTATTTTCTTTTGTTTATTATCTTTAGATTTTGCTTTTGCCTACAATTTGAGTCCAATTTGTTTCCGAATGTATTTACTTTTTCCTTATCTATTATATGTTGGAAAGCCTGAGGGAATTTGTTCCCTTGCTTTGCTTGATTTCAGAAAACAGATTGGGAAAAGAAATTGAAAATTCGAATTTTAGATTTCCTCATTATTTAAGTCCTTAGAAAACCTCAATCCTTCTCTCAAATAACCCTAATGGTAATCTTTTATATAGCTAAGTATTTTAACAAAACATAACTAAATAGAACCTATAATTCAAATTTTGCTTTCCACTTATTCTCTCTAATTTCCACTGAAGTCAAACAGAGAGATAATGAAACTGATTTTGTGTGTGTGTGTGTGTGTGTGTATTTATTTCTAATTTTTTAAAAGTATTTCCTTGACCAACTTCAGTCCAAGACAGTGAAACAGTAACCTAGGATCATAGCTTCTAATTTCATGTTTATCTTGTATTTTTCATGCATACTTTCCACCCTTCTAGACAATTTTATGTTTGAAAATTTGCTATATAGGGTACCTAGTGACCTCGGGTAGTTTGTAATAGAATTATCTGTTTAAATTTTTTTTTAGTCTTAACTAATATATATCCCAGAAAGGACTAGATTATTATCATTATTTCTAATTTACTTTAATGAGTTGGAGTGACTGGTGCTTATTCTTCTTGTTTTAAGCTGTACTTTATTAGTAGATGAATTTTTGTAAACACTAATCATCCGCTTAGATGGATGTGAATTTTAAATGCATGGAATTGATTTGATATTAATCATTTTAGGAGAACAACTCTAATTTAGATTTGATAGTTTACTTATGAATTTCAAGATTGAATTAAATAGTTCTATCATGTTGTATTTGAAATGACTGTTGTAAAAGTAGTTATTTGAAATCATGTTAAGGATTCTGTATTAGCTGTAAGGATCCTACTAAAATATATCTCTTTTATCTCGAACTATCTTCTTTCATAGTTTTTCTCTCCACCTCCAATAGCTAACTCTCCAATGTTTTTAACTTCAGATCCCTTGATTTGAATTCCAAATCTATTCAAACAGGTCATAAATGTTGAGAATTTTTTATTTTCTATCTCAGGAGTTGTGTAGTGGAATATCAAAAACAGAAGCTGAGGATGTTCATTTCAATGAGTCTGGAAAGCAAGGCAAGTCTTCTGGTTCGAAGGATGGTCAGGAGGAGGACAACCCGGCTGAGACTAGCGGTGTCGACCAAGACAAGGCTTTCAAGAAACCTGACAAGGTCATTTCATGTCCTCGGTGCAACAGTTTTGACACTAAGTTCTGCTACTTCAATAACTACAATGTCAATCAGCCTCGACATTTTTGCAAGAATTGCCAAAGATATTGGACAGCTGGTGGAACAATGAGAAATGTTCCTGTTGGTGCTGGCAGGCGAAAGAACAAGCACTTCTCTTCTCAATATCGTCAGATAGTGGTGTCCCCCGATTCAGTACCAGCAACAAGAATCGAAATCCCTGACTCTGTCAATCAACAACTTTTCTCTTGTGGTGAATCTCAGAGCACGTTGAATCCTTTAACTAGCAGTGGAACAGTACTAAAATTTGGTCCCGAAGGACATTTATGTGAATCCATGACAACTGTGCTTCATCTCAAAGATCAGAAAAGCTGTGCTTCTGATTTTGGTTCGTCCAGAGATAAAAGAGAGGACCCTCCCTCATGTGGTTCTTCAATTACAGCGTCCAGTATCCAGGAAAATCAGATACCCGAAAAGGTTAACGAGCTTTCTCAGCCAAATCCCTTGCAATGTTATCCAGTTCCTCCTTGGGTTTCCCCTTGGAATCAAGCATGGAGTGATGGAGCTTCCATGGTGGCATCTCGGTGCTCTTCTGAACTGGTTTCTGCACCAGTTGATGGTAATCCAAACCCAATTCAATGGTGCTCGACACCAATGCTTGCAGTTCCTGGATTTTGCCCGCCTAGCATTCCTCTACAGTTTGTACCTGCATCATATTGGGGTTGCTTGCCTGTTTGGACAACAGGAACAAGACATATACCAATGGTGGGAGTGGATGGTGGCCAATCTCCATCATTATCCACTAGCAACAACTTACCAACGTTAGGAAAGCATTCCCGGGATGCAAATTTGATGGATGAGGAGTCAGATAAGTGTGTTTTAGTTCCCAAGACACTGAGAATTGATCACTCTGATGAGGCTTCTAAGAGTTCTATCTGGGGCACATTAGGTTTTAAGTCTAACAAGAAAGAAACTGAAGAATCAAGATGTGGGATTTTCAAACCATTCAAACCTAGCGGCGGTGAATGCAAGGGCCATCCATCAGATACTACTCAGGTGTTAGAAGCCAACCCTGCAGCTCTTTCTCGCTCCCATACATTTCAAGAGAGCACCTAAAAATGAAATACGATGAGCGTTTGAAGAATTTGATTTTGGCCGTTCGCTACAGGGTCTTTCGAGAAATTTTATGCTAGACTCTGGTTTGCACAATAAAGTTATGGAAGCATTTTGGTTGCTGGAGATTCAGAAGATGCACACGTGATCCACGAGTGGTGAATTCATCTGTTTTGGGTCTATCAACGCTGTAAATAGAAGAATCTTGCGAGTTAAGTGGGTTGTTTTTGGTACTTGGCCTATTTCAGGTTTGTCTAATCCAGAATTTTGTAAATTGCAGTTCTTTTGCATAACAAGGTTTATTTTTTATTAAATCTTTAATGAATGCAATATTACACCAGAAAATCCCTAAAAACGTATACTTAATTACCGGAAAATGGCTCTGATATATTGTTTAGTTTGTTCAAAGTATTTTTGCTTTGCAATTCAAGTAGTTCGAGCTTCCTTGAATCTAAATACCGGTTTCTCCGCCTAGATAGTGATCTCAGGTTTCCTTTTTCTTCTTTCACTTTCACCATGGTTGAGAGATTTGGTGAAAGTAAAGACAATTATAAGTATTAACAATCACTTCAACTAACAGTTGCGTTAGGCACAAGTGGTTGGGGTATCAATTTTGAATTTTTTACTTTTTATTTTAAAAAATAATTTGTACTCTTTTTTGCAACCTTTTTCTCACCAAACAAACAGGGTTGCGGTGATTTTCAAAGTACCCTTTCTTTTTCTTTCACTTTCCCACTTTAACTCCATGGCCAAGTGGAATATTTTCTTCTTTTCCTAGCAAGAAAAGCCTATTTTGAAGCCTTGTTCTATGCTCTTCTTTTTTTTTCTTTTCTTTTCTTTTTTCTTTTCAAGGAAAAGGCAACTTTCTATGAGGTAGGAATGATTCATCACCCAACAGAGGAATATATCCTTTTATGACTCATCTCCTACAAATGAATGGCTTCAGAAGTACTTTGAATAAACTCCTAAAGTGAATTTTATCATCACTGAAAAGGAACAAAGCAAACCCAACTCTTGCTTTTGAACCCTTTGGAAAAAGAGACTTAGCAACCAAGAGTCCTTGCACCTTTTTGGGGTCATCAAAAATTTCACCTACTTTTGGACTTCCCAAATTCTGGAACAATGTTTGAGAAAATTACAAGTTTACCCTAAACTTTTTCAAGAAATATTTTTTTCTTACAATGGGATACTTATTTGTCCTTTTAAAAAGATTCAATTATTAAGATTAAGGTGTTGATTTAATGGATTATCAAGCATGATATTTCAGTTTGACACTAGCCGTTGTGGGATGCAACATCCCCTTCCTTTATTCATTTTGTGATTGTAATGAATTAGCTATTTACTCTATTCCTTGTTCCATTGATTGTAAATAAATAAATAAAAAGCATCAATTAATAATAGCTACGCAAAGTAAATTCAATGTTATATGCCTAACTGTTGACTTTGATGTGCAGTCACTTTTGGTGAGGCACATTAAAAATAAATGCCGAGTTTGGTGTGGTTCTGGAATCTTAGTTCCATCATCATTTGCGAAATCTCTGTTTAGATAGAATTTTCAAAAATTAATTTTAACTTCACATTTCAAAACACATTTCACAACACGTTTGGTAGAGCTTCTCCTAGTCAGTTTTCAAAATTTTTTGGTCTACCCGGTCGTTCCCCTAACGTTCGGCCGGTCGTCCGGAACAATTTTTTTTTTTTTTGAGAATTGGCACCTGTTATTTGAAAAAAATATAAAAAATATATATATATATATATTTGTTTTTGATATTTTTAAAATATAGAAAATATATTTTTTAGACCAAAATGACGAATTCTTTGAAAATTTATATAAAATTAATAAAAAAAATTTAAATAAAAATTAATTTGTCACAGTAATTTTTAAAAAATAAAAAAATATTTTTAAACAAAACAATTAAAAAAACGTTCCAATCAAATATACAATCAAAAATAATTTTAAAGCACTAGTTGATTACTTTTTTAATATTTTAAATAAAAAAATTATTTTTTTCAATAATTATTTTTTTGGATTGAATTTTAAAAAGAGATTGTTTATGAGTTTTGAACAGAATTTTCAATAGAGTTTTGAGTTGTGAGTTTGGTTATGAATTATAAGTTTTTGAATTATGTTTTGACAACTCTTTTCCAAACTCAGAACTAAACAATTTTTCTCATTTCATATGTCACATCAAAAATTTAAAACTCTTTTTAAAACTCATAACCAAACAAATTTTTTCTTTTCAAATAATAATTTCAAAACTCACAAACTCGAAATATAACTCTATTATCAAATCATAATTCTAAAACTCTACCAAACGCTATCAAAGAATTTACGTGTAGTTTCTAATATGAAGATTTATTATCTAATAGGTCTTCTAAGAATTAATGATGTTTTTCATCAAACATTATTAAAAAAATGTTACTCATTATTAATTTTCAGTGATAGGTTAAAAATTGTCACAAAAAATATCATTAATTATAAGTTTTAGCGATAGTTTAAAAAAATATTAAAAAAATGTCACTAATTTTCAACTTTTAGTTCAAAAAATTCGTCACACGAAAATGCCACTAATTATAAGTTTTAGCTACAATATATAAAAAAGTGATAAAAAATTGCTAATTATCAATTTTTAACAACATATGCAAAAAAATCATCATAAAAAATTATTTTTAGCGAAAATTTTATTAGGACTTATTTTTAATAAAACTTAACAGAAATTAAGTTCAAGTATTAAGACATATTGATAATTTACGAAAAAACAATTAAATAACGCACAATTACACTATGTTTGGATTGAGTGATTTGGAGAGAAAAGAAAAGAAATTGAGAGAAATGCATTTCTCTTACTTATTTGGATAACCTAAGTCGAGAGAAATGGGAAGAAATGTAGAGAAATGAAGAGAAACTCATTTCTCTTATAAGCCTCATTTTCAATCTTCCCAAAAGTGAAGAGATTGGAAGAGAAAAGAAACCATTATTTTCATAATACCAATTTTGCCCCTATAAAAATAAAAGAAATAAAATGATTGAAAATATAAAAAGGTTATTTTGGTAATATAACATTAAATAATTTCTTTTCTTTTCTCTTAATGAAATCTAACCAAACAAGAATGAGAGATATCACAATCATTTCTTTTCTTTTATTTCTTCCTTATCCAAACAAAAAGGAGAGAAATCACAATCATTTCTTTTTCTTTTTTTTTTTCTCTTATAACTTAAGTAATCTTTTCTTTTCTTTTCTCTCCTAAGTTCCCAAACATAGTGTTAGTAACCATTAATAATAGGTGTTTGGAAGGGTTTTATGGGGCACATAATTAACCTTTGACATAAATGTACAAAGTTAGTCTTCTTAAACTTGATTCCATAATTTCTTGGTTAGTAAACGGGTGGTGAAGTACATCCTAACTAAATTGTTTATTTGGTCGTAACGTTTTTTGAGTTATTTGTTTTTCCTAATATTTGATATGACAAAATATAAAAATCTAACAAAAAAAATAATTTATCATAATCAATAGAAAATGAACTTGTTTTAGCAACAATTTTTTTTTAATTAAAAAAAAATTCAATTATTAAAGATGAAAAGACTTTCTAAACTCATCAAGACAAACAACAATTATACCACTATCAATGTCACTGACAATAATCCATTGTCACCGCTACTTTAACACTGCCACCACCATCACCAGAAGCTGTTGTTGTCGCTGCCACTATCATTGCAATTGCCACTTCACTCCTTTCACCATTGTTATCGACATCGCTATCACCATTACCACAACACCACAACATCAGTGTCACTGCCCTTTACTACTACTCTAATTTTTGCCGCTATATACCTCCATCACCACCACGAAATCCTACTACAATCACCATCATCACCATCATTATCACCACCACTACACCTAATGGCCTTCTCAGGCCCAAATAAGGACGGAAACTTTGTCACAACAATCGAAGGCATCATTTGTCTGAAACCATTGTTGCCTTATAACCTAAATATATTGAAAAATAAGCTTGAAGACCACAATTCGCCAAAAATATTGAGACATTCACATTTTTTAAATCTTGTGCATATGGCATTTAATTCACATTTATTGATGTGATGTGCATATTTTCTCTTTTGGTCATCTTTAGACAACCCACCCATACATTCTATTTTCCACTTGTTCTCCAAACCTTCTATTAAAAAGCTCTATAAATAACTCCTTTCTTAATTTCTTCATATCCATTCCTCAATATATTGAAACTTGCAAGACAAAACAATCATATCTATTATCTTACGACAATAACCCAATGGTGAGATCTTACCTATTCACTTTTTCCATCATTGCCATTGTTCTTCCAACAGTCACTTTTGCTGGAAAGTTCATAGTTGGTGAAGAAGCTTGATGGACATCAATGTATGATTATGAAGGTTGGGCCAAGGGCAAAGAATTTCAGTCGGAGACAAACTCGGTAATATAATACTTATTAAGACTTCTTGCTATGATCAACATGTTTTTTTATGATAAAAAATTTTAGTTTGCTCACTATATACATATACACACATATTTATATATTATTTGGGTTATCAAATCTACTCCTAATGTTGCAATTAGATCAAAGATTCATACTTCCAATCTTTCTATTATTTTTTTCTAATCAATAAAAATTTTCATTAAGGCAAGCCAAATAGCACTTACAGAAGAGTTTATCCAACAGATAAAACTTACATCAAACAAAGAAAAATTCAGTACTAGAAGCACTGAGAAGAAAACTATGAAAATATCCAGACGCACAACTCTTGTTCGTGCTCGTACTGCAAAGAAGAAGCCGATCATAATAGTTCGGCAATAGAGCATGTCTGAGATAAATCATAAGTTACAATCACAGAGTGGGTAAGCTACAGCCACAATACCGATGGACCCCAATGTTAGAAATTGGGCGCCCATGTGGCATGACCCTTAGAACCTTTTGAACCTTATCCAAATGGGTTTTGAATTTGAATTCAAACCTATTTGGATAGTCACTCAGGATATATATCTATCATATCATGATATGGATAGATGATATAGATATCAGATATTATCTCATTTAACAAATATGGATAAATGAGATAAATAGAATATATATCTGATATATGGGATATGGGTGATTAAGTGGAAAAATAACGTATGTTTGGTTTTTACCCATATACTGACTCTCTCCCAAAGAACAACGATCAAGTCATTTGCACTGTGATTTGTGTGGGTGATATTCATTCTGTAATATCACTCCACTGCTGGGATTGATTGATTAGATTCTGGAAGCACATGATTTACCCACAAGGTTCTATCATCTAAAGGTATGATCTAAACATT